ATGCTCAGCGCCGAGCCCAACACGGGGCTCGATCTCACAAATCGTGAAATCATGACCTGAGCCAAAATCAAGAGTCTGACAACCGACTGAGCCACCCAGGCACCCCTAGAAGTGCTTTCTGATTACCTGCCTCAATCCCACTCTCTATGCCTTCCTTCTATTTTGCTTTCTCTGTTCTCTTCAATAATATCAAGATTGCTCTCAAAGGCCTACAGACGCGGAACACGGCCACACAGGTGGATACGATCTTTGCTCCCTTACCTCCAAATACCACTGCCTGCAGGTGCCTGAACCGCCACCCCAGAGTCGTCCTTCCGATTAAGTCAGATAATCTTTTAATGAGGTTCTCTGGGAGTCCATGAATCTCCCAAACAAGGCTGTCTGTCAATCACATATATTCCTTCAGGAAGAGGAGTACATCATTGCCTCCAAAGTGGGATTCGGGAAGGAACGCCTAATTATATTTACTTCTATTTGTCTCAGATTCATTCATATTTACTTTTTGTCTCACATTTTTTACTTTTGTTTTTTTAATTTTTATTTATGTATTTATTTATTAATTTATTTAAAGAGAGAGAGAGAGAAAGAGAGAGAACAAGCATGAGCGTTAGAGGGGGAGAGTGAGAGACAGAGAGAGAGAGAGAGAGAGAATCTTAAACAGGCTCTACACCCAGCAAGGAGCCCAATGTGGGGCTCGACCTCATGACCCTGCCATCATGACCTGAATGGCACGAAACCAAGAGTCGGATGCTTAACCGACTGAGTTACCCAGGTGTCCCTATTTATTTTTTTAAGACTTTATTTTTAAGGAATCTCTATACCCAACATGGAGCTTGAACTTACAGCCCTGAGATCAAGAGTCACGTGTTCTACTGACTGAGCCAGCCACGCAGCCCCCTTTCTACTTTTCTACTTGGATGATGATTCTTACATACATGTTATATTAAGTCTGTAGCACAGGCATATAATTTGTAAGTAAAGAGACACACATCGGGATTGATGCTCAAGTTTTTAGGGGCGCCTGGGTGGCTCAGTCGGTTAAGTGGCCGACTTCGGCTCAGGTCATGATCTCGCGGTCCGTGGGTTCGAGCCCCGCGTCAGGCTCTGTGCTGACAGCTCAGAGCCTGGAGCCTGTTTCAGATTCTGTGTCTCCCTCTCTCTGACCCTCCCCCGTTCATGCTCTGTCTGTCTCTGTCTCAAAAATAAATAAACGTTAAAAAAAATTTTTTTTTAATTTGCCCTGTCAAAACAGTTTGGAAGAAGAAGGGCTGAGACAGACGCTTGTACACCAATGTTCACTGCAGCGTTGTTTAAAGCAGCCACAAGACAGAAACAACCTGAATGTCCCTCAGTACATGAATGGGTAACCAAAATGTGGTCTATCCATACGGTGGAATATTATTCAGCCATTAAAGGGAGTGAGGTTCTGATATATGCTACAATATGAATGAACCTTCATGGGGTGCCCGGGTGGCTCAGTTAGGTGTCTGACTTTGTCTCAGGTCATGATCTCACGGTTCGTGAGTTCGACCCCGTTTCGGGCTCTGTGCTGACAGCTCAGAGCCTGGAGCCTGCTTCCGATTCTGTGTCTCCTTCTCTTTCTGTCCCTCCCCCACTCACACTCTGTCTCTCTCTCAAAAATACAGATTAAAAAAAAAAAGTTATGCTAAGTAACATAAGCCAGACTCAAAAAGACAAATCTTGTATTCATTTCACTTACATGAAATATCTATTCATAGATATAAGCCAATTCATAGAGACAGAAAGTATATCAGGGGTAGGGGGGAAGAAAGAACAGGGAATATTATGGGTTAAATTGCATCTCCCCAACCCAAAATGATGTGCTGAAGTCCTAATCCCTGATACCTGAGAATGTGACATTATTTATTTGGAAATAGGGTCCGTGCAGATTGAACGAGGTGGAGGTCATGGGGGGCCCTAACCCAATATGACTGGTGTTCTTATAAAGGGGGGCAATTGGACTCAGAGACACACATACACAGAGGGGAGACGATGTGAATTCAGGAAGAAGAAGGCCATGTGACCGGATCCATGTGTGTCCAAGCCAAGGAATGCCAAAGACCGCAAGTAAACACCAGAGGCTAGAAGACGCAAGGAAGGAGCCTTGCCCAGAGCTGTCAGAGAGAGCGTGGCTTTGTGGACACCTTGATTTCAGACTCCTAGCCTCCAGAACTGTGGGGACGATAAACCGCTATTGTGTTAAGCCGCCTAGGTTTTGGTACTTTGTCATGACCACCCTAGGAAGCGAACCCAGGGAGTTATAGCTTAGGAGTTACAGAATTTCTGTTCAGAGTGATGAAAAAGCTCTGGAAATAGATAGCGGTGATGCTGGCACAACATTTCGAATGTAATGAATGCCAGCGAATTGCACGATTAAAGATAATGTGGCAATTTTTTTGTGTTATATATATTTTACCACAACTTAAAGCAACTAATAACGTAATATACACCAAATCATTGAATTGTACGTTTTTTCAAATGTTTATATATTTTTGAGAGACAGAGCATGAGCGGGGGAGGGGCAGAGAGAGAAACACACACAGAATCCGAAGCAGGCTCCAGGCTCTGGGCTGTCAACACAGAGCCCGACGCGGGGCTCGAACCCACGACTGCGAGATCACGACCTGAGCCGAAGTCGGCCGCTTAACCAACTGAGCCACCCAGGCACCCCAATCAATACAGCCACTTTGGAAGAAGTTTGGCAGTTTCTTACAGAACTAAAATACTCTTACCATACAATGTAGCAATCACAGTCCTTGGTATTTACCCAAATGAGTTGAAAATTTATGTCCACACAAAAACCTGTACATGAACATTCATGACATTCTTGAAGAGGCAAAACTTGAAGAGGATAGTGGTGCTCAGGGTTTTAGGGCAGTGAGACAACTCTGTCTGATGCCACAGTGGTGGATATATGCTCATTATACATCTGTCCAAACCCATGGAACATGCACCACCAAGAGTGAACCCCGATGTGAACTCTGGACGTCGGGTGATATACAGGTGTATGGTAGATGGGGCCTCCCTGTACTTTGTGCTCAGTTTCGCTGTGAATTTGAAACTGCTCTAAAAAATCCTGGGGCGCCTGGGTGGCTCAGTCGGTTGAGCCTCCGACTTCAGCTCAGGTCGTGATCTCGCAGTTTGTGGGTTCAAGCCCCGCGTCGGGTCCTGGGCTGACAGCTCAGAGCCTGGAGCCTGCTTCGGATTCTGTGTGTGTGTCTTTCTCTCTCTGCCCTTCCCCCACTCACGCTCTGTCTTCCTCTCTCTCTCAAAAATAAGTAAACATTAAAAAAAATTTTTTTTAATCCAAAATCTGGCACTGTCCAGAAAAATTTTAACAGGTCAACTTATCATTG